GGCAAAGTACTATTAGATTACTACACTACTGAGCTTATCTTTCTTTCTTTCTTTCTTTCTTTCTTTCCTTCCTTCTTTCTTTCTCTCTTTCTGGTGTTTTCTAGCCATCAGCACCCACTTCAATATAACCAACAACTTACCCTCGGGTTCTGATAAGCCGTCACAGCCATAAATTCAGTCTCTGGGAAAGTAAACGTGTAGAACGTGCCTTTCTTCATGCTAAACATGTTGTACTCCTTGGCGGGGATGACGTGAATACGAGGACGGTATTTATGCATGGAGTTCAATATCACCTAAAGATAAAGAAAAGATCCTCTCTTTTTAATTGAATGTTTCTTTGCTTTATCATATAGTTTTTATTGTCATCCCTAATTCGTGACATAACTGGATTATTTCTTTCCATTCAGTATGAGAACCAACATCGGGCTGACGGTTAGCAAAAAGTGATAATGACAATAGTGTAAAAAGCAATATTTTTAAAAGGTTTATCGCTATTTACTTAGGTAGCTTTACTATACTACAACATGTGTTTATTTTCTCTCAAGGTTTGATAGTAAAATCTATTAAAATGAGCAAGGCTTTTTACACAAGCGTGGCAAAGCGACACCGACACGTATCATAGTGTAATGTGTAGGTGTTAGGGTGTGACTGGTAGTATCTTTATTCCATTCTCTTTCCAGGGCATATATCGGGAATGATTCATGCACATTCATTTCTGTTTGTAATACGATAAAATCAAGGATGGCGTAGTATTTGATTTACTCGCCTCTTATTTCTGGGGTCTCAGGTTTGATTCCTGGACTCGCCATCACATGTAACCAGAGTTGGTTAGGTTTCTTCCTGGACTCCACCCACTGAACCAGAAACCGGCTGTTTAACGGCTTGATAAAATTGGAAGGTTTGAAAATTTTTTTTATTCTTTCATTTTTAGAAATTTAGCAACTTGTGTTGAAAAGTTGGAACACAATGTCATGTCATGCTCTCTTTATTGTTGGGAAAATACCTTTTTACTAAACCCGTTAACTATGTATTAAATATGTACGGGGGGAAAAAAAAAAATGAAACCTTTTAAAAGGATTTTCTCGATATCTAACATCAGTACTGCATAACATTCATATGGAAAATAGAATATTTGCACTACTTGTTAATATATAATTGCTTCTCGTGTTTAATAATTCCTGCATAAAAACATTTCTCGGCTTCCAACCCAGATGTTGTAGCACATATATTGCATCGATCAAATACATTTTCTACCAATATTATTCAAGTGTGAAAAGGTTTTGATACAAAATTTACAAATGTGAATCAGTTCCAGAACTAACTACATTTACACTTCAACATTTTTGTTCATCGCAGATCCTTTGAGTTGGATTTTATGTATTAACACATGAAGAAAGCTCAAACACGTATGGAACGCTGTGAAAATTATTAAAGAACTTGACAATTTGTTTATTGAGTTGTGAACATATTGCGAATTTCACGAGAGCATGTTCATTGGGGAAGATTAACTTGTTCGCAGATAAAATATTTTTGATTAGTTTTTAGGATTATCTTTGATATTGCCGTTGTTTGTCTGTTTTTGAATATCTTGAAACATAAAAAGCAGAATATCCAAGGCGAAAAGATTTTTTGTTTTTACATAAAAAATCACAATAATGAAGCTGCAAACTTGCAAGAAATGTTTCATAAAATTCGCATTGACTATAATCTATTGATGCTAAAACCGGCTTTTCCTTTCATTATACCTTTTGTTCTGAACTACGTAAATAACCTTTAGCAACGGTATTTCGAATGGACAACGAGAATACAAATTCGCCTCAATTAGGTTTTTTTCCCGGCTGAAAATTTGGTTAGAATTCATTTACGACTCCAGATGTGATTTGGCAGGCTCAACAAACCAACGATGGAATGAAACCACTTAAACAAATTATAGTCGGAAAAGTTTTAACGCTTTAAAGTCGTTACTGAAAATTACCCTTAATATGTACAAGAAGAGTTATCTGGCACACGACAGAGTAAATTACTGCCAATTCGACTACAAATTAGTTATCAAAATATCACAATCTTGTGAACTCAATTCTGGTGCCAATTGGCTTTGCGCCTGGGAGAAGGTGACACCACTTCACACTTCGCAATTTCTGATTTTTCTTTGAAAAACAACTATACAATTAAGATATTATAACTGAAATTACAAGACAAAAGGAAAGAAGTTCAATGTGTTTTGTAATTATTTTCGAATTTAAGAACTCGAATCTTTAATTTTTCAAAGCTTTTTAAAAGAAACTGGAAAGGAAGTTTAATGTTGTACAAGTGCAGTTGAACGATTCAGAAAAGGTTTTCATCAACAAGCCAAATGTACGAAACATAGAAAAGTTATTTAAACTTTTTAAGCAAAGTTTTTAATATATGAATTCAAACACATGAATTAAAAAGGCTCATTCTATGTTTGAACTTAAGGTTTTTCGTTTCTACACGAGTCGAAACCCAGTAAATGTGAAATTATATTATTTTGTAGCAAAGTTATTTTCGCGGTTGTTTCAAAGAAGCGAAGGTCGTACGTTCTTTCGTAGGCCTCATAATGCACTTTAAGTTTCGCTTCATTTTATATAAGATAGAAGCATAATAACACTAATGAATGAGCGTTGGGTTGGACCTGTGGTTAGACGATAAAAAACCATATACTCAAACCAACAAAATGAATGAAAAGCTACGAATTACTCTAATCAACGACACGATCCCACAGGGCACTGACCATCACCTTCAAAACATATTCTCTTATCAAAGGTGTGATAGAAATCTTAAAGAACTGGAAGTGTTAATATGTGTGATTACTGGAATACAAACGATAATGAATCTCTCGAACAGCACTAAGATAACGAAGCGAAAAAACCTTGAAAGCTCGCCAAAAATTAGTAAAATTCTGGAGATTTTTGAATAAATGCCAATTGTGTAATTTGATTCGCAATTTATTCTGGCAAGAGATTGAAGATAAAAGAAGATTTTTTGAACATTTTCTAAGAATGACAAGCAAAAATCTTCCCTCGTACTTTTATTGTGTGTGAAGTTCAACAGCAAGTGCTATCGCACAAGCAAATTTATTCGATTATTATTATTATTATTATCTGTTTGGTTGTTTGAAAGCATAGAGAAGTGCCATTAGAAGAAAGCGACAGGGCCGGGCCGTTCGTACAACGTGTTAGTGGTCGAGTTGTCAAACATTGCCAAGGTGAATGTAGGCGGGACTTCTCATCGTGCAAGTAATCTTTGAACTTCATGAATAATATGCTGAATCATTTACTTTTCAATTCCGAAAATTCTACCCAAAAAAGAAAAGAAAATCGCAAAAAACGTTTTGAATAACTATGAACTTTTCAATCCAAATAATGCAAAGAGATTTGAAGAATGGAATCCCGAACACTGTTACTGAAGATCACTGTGTATTTCTTTAGAAATATAACTTGGACATAATTCTTTACTTTCTAAATCTCGACTGATTTGCAAATATCATCAGTTTACAGGGGAAAAAATCAAAGCAGTGCTTAAGTTTTAGTAGTGTTTAAACTTATCGAGAGCCTTCAAGTCTCTCAAAGATGCTTTTAGCTTTCAGGTCCTTGTTCTGGGAACACCAACRCTGAGGGGTTTGGAGCCTTGTGTAGTTTTATGCAGCGCTTTGCTACTATCAGTTTGTTTATCTGCAAAAACCTTACGACAAATCCCGATACATTATTGACTAAAGAACTTCAGTTTCAAACTGATCCGTGTGCATAATCTAGCTTGTACAAAGATGGAACAACTTTGCTCCGCTTCACGTCTGCATGTAAATGTAGAGACTTTCCTTTTTAAAGAAAAGATAAACTAACCCTTATTTACTGTTTAACGTAAATCATGAGTTTTCCCAATCAGACTAACCCTCTTGATTTAAAAAACTTCAGAACCCCATTTATCCTTCTTACACCCAAAATAAGAAAGCCATTGCACAAAAGCCGGTTTAGTTAGAAGCAAAATTTCTCAAGTGTCCTACTAAAATACTTACATGGCCAGATTGGTCATTGAGGTTGTTTGTTAGCTTGAGTTTCTGGAAGGATACGACTTGTCTCATCCACTGGGCTCCGGTTCCAGGGGAATCAGGGTGGATAAAAACTCGAGATGGGATCAGGTTTTCAGCCTTGCCTGTTATTGCCCATTCTGTGTTATGGTACTTGTAACGATTCTCGTCAGCAGGGACAAGATCTAGCCCGATGATGTATTCTTCTTTAGGACTCAAGCCGGTAATGTTGGACCGAACAACTGGGAACATTCGACTAAGGAAGGAGAAAAGATTCTTGCTTTTATTATACAAATATATGTGGAGATTATCATTACTTGTCTAATTACTTTAAGAACAAGGATTACAGATTATAGTGTTTGTGAAGGGATGATTCAAGCTTGGTTCTGTCTTTTAGGCGTTATCCAGAACAAGCACCCATTATAAAACTGATTCAAAATGTCGGAATTCCTGGACGAAGGAATACTTCCTCGCTTTACCGGGAATTTGTTCATTAAAAAAGAGGAGTTTTAATGATGTAATTTAGGAAGAATTTGGCTCTGTTTTATAATACCACCTCTTGTTGACGTTACCTCAGTGGGGGACCTAAAAACCATGCAATGCTTTACCTGATTACAACTTAAAAACACAACCATTGACAAACAACTACCATTATGAAGAACTTAAAATTCCCCTGACTTTAAATTACTTTAGTAATAAGAAAATAYTTGAGTTACTTTGTTTATTTTTAAAAACTTTAGTTTAAATTGTATATGAAGTGTGATTTCCCTCTTTCGAGAGGACGGCCAATTTATATCGTTTAATTTTGTATTTCAACAGAAACCTTCAATAAACTTGTTGAAAAATCTTAAAGCTTTTTGAGAGTTCTTTAAGTAACCCATAAATGAATTACTGAAGGGATGAAAGTTGGTTTCCAATTTGGTCCAGCAACGCGCAGATGTCATTCGAAAGATTTCGGCACAGTTTTCAGGCTTCCTGGATTTCCATCTCATATATCCAGAGAGGAAACCACAAAAATACTCGAAAAATCGATCAAAGTCTCGATGAGGATTCTTCAAGTTTGATTTAAATTCATATACAAGTCGTCAGAAACAATTGAACCTGTCAGAACTAACAGAAATTTTAAGTAATTGTCGTTGAATCCATTACCATGTTCGAGTTCCTTGTTTTGATAGAAAACATTGATAACTTCGACATGACATATTCGAAACTTATCTACATAAATCAAAACTTACCGTCCGTTCTTGGTAATGATCATTTCTGTACCTATATCATGGAATTTCTCCCAAAGCTCTTTATTTTCAAGCTCAACTTGTAGAGGTTCTGATACAAGTTGTCCATGGGGCAACGGTGATGAGTAACCAACAGTTAATGCAAAGTTTTGAGCTGAAGACGTTGTTGTCGTAATGTTGTTCACGGCCGCTGGCATACCTTCACAGAAACCAGGTTGCTTGGGGTAAGAGTTGATGGATTCGATTCTTCTGTCAGGATAGAAAGATGAAATATCTGGCGGAAGACAAGCAGAGGAAGATGTTACCAACTTAAGTCATAAATACCATCAAATACCGGAATTACGCATAAATATCATGCAGAGTTTATAAAACTTAGAATAACATCGACAAGTTATGAGGATTATCAATGGCAAAGTGAACTCTTAAATCAGGAAAAGTATGAAAATTGTTTTGAAGAAGATAAACATGTTCTTACCAAAATCTATGTCCTGAGGCAGAGGGTTTTGAGGAGCTTGTACCATCGTTGGACCGCAGTATTGAAGTTCAGCACGTGTAAGTCCTGCTTCCGGTAAATGCAGAGAAGCCATAGAAGAATTTGTCAAGATTTGTTTTCTTAGAAATGCGTGAAATCCTGCTGATGTTGTGATAGACTGTGAAAATTCACTCTTCCACTTGTCGCACGATTTTGAAAGCGCTTCGGAGGTTTGGGGGTTGACGAGAGGCTCACGGACGGCCCGGCTGCCTGGACTACTACTGCTTTGATGATGAATAAACCACAATACAATACATGTTCAGATTGCTGTTTTAGGCTGTCAATCAATCAATCACTAGTCGTGTTATTTATGAAACAACGAGACAGCTAGGCTATTAGTGGTTACTCATAAATCACCAAGGTGTTCTACTCGATTATTGTAATCGTCAAACGAGCTCTCTGATTGGTCCAGTCCTTGTCATCTTAACAGTCAATATCACAGGAAGCCATTCTACTGCTTGTCATTCCTTGTTCATTTCCTGTAAATATTTAAATGCTTATTTGTGAAGGACAATTAACGTACCGTGTCCAGAAGGCGGGCCCTAACAACCTGATACAAAGGAAATTAGCTAAGTAACAATGAACCAAATATCGCGAATTCAAAGGGATTTGCAATATCAAAGGATGAAGGATTTGAATATCTCTCGCGAGCCAATACTAACGAACATCAAGGCAAATCCTTTCCGGTCTCGTTGCATGCGCTGACTGCATTATTATTTACCTCTCGATTTATGAAAATACACACTCCATCCTAGTTTACATAGTTATAAAACACTACAAAAATATTGCATTTTTAGAAGTTTTGCACGCTCGTGATACATCTATCTGAATTTAAAAGTTAAAAAAATTGCAGTCCCACGGATTATTGCCAAAAATACCTAGAATATTTTTGTCTTTGAAGTTTTTTTTTTACGTGACTGGATTGGGCTTTGAATTCTAAAAAAGCAAGTCGAAAATCGTATTCAAAACGAGTACTTCAATAAGTGCTTGATATTCATTATCATTGTCATAAATGCGACGATTTGTATAAAGTTTACCAAAGTTTTTGGCTAAAGTTTGTCAGGTTTAGTAAGTGGACTGTGTGCAATTATTTTCGCTTTGCTTTGCGGATATACAAAAACAGAAAAAGCTGCATATTCCACAATGTATTGATAACATCTTTATCTAATTACTATCTATTTTCACTTGTTTTTTTTCTTCAAAGAATAGAATAATTACTTCATGTATTTGTGGTCCCCGCCTTCTTAAACCACTTCGAACACAATGAAAATGCCAGATATCGTTGCAGAAATTTAGCGATTTTTAATCGATCTTTTTCGAAATTTACTGTTGATATTTGCTGAGAAAGGAGAGCTCGTTGGTACAAAGGTAGAAGTAAAAGACGCGTACGATTCCTCTAGAACGAAATTTGTTTTCGTAAAGTGAATGAGATATAAATTTTAGCGAATTTTGTCCTGAGTTTAAAGACAAACTTAACACGAAGACAAAACGACGTTGAAATCAAAGTTTTCAAATTGAAGTAACAATGTTTTCATGCAAAAATTCGACCATTAATTTATTAAATTATTTGGTTTGGAACGTACTGAATGTGATGGTATTTTGGTAAGATTATCAATACATTCCTTTCATGAGAAGTTTGAGGATTTAAATATTCYCAAACGAACTGAGTTTGCGCTGAAAATTATAAAGTTAAACAACATAATATCAAAGTTGAAGATTCTTTACAAAAATTCGGTGTTTTTAAATTTATTTTTGGTGGTAAGAAAACAACCTCATATAAACCTCAATAGATCAGTTTAATGTAACGAAGCATATCCCACTGAAAAGATGCTATTCTTAGTAAGTCTCACGCTGCCCGAGAGGCGCTGAAAACAGATTGAATTAAACATTTAGTAAACTAAAGAAATTGTTTTTCACGTTCAATTGTTTTCATACTAAACAGCGCGTTGATTATAAACCACGGTTGCCATGGAGTTGCTTAGAGTTGTTGATGAGGTGCTGTTATCGTTTTATAGAATATTTAACGCATACAGTAACAATAAATACAATTCTGTAGACAACATTCTTTGTAAAGTTACAAAGAGTTTTGACCAACTGCATATGATTTGCCGGGTATTCCATAGTTATTCCAAAAGTACAAACGAACTCAGTGCACACTGTATGAATAATTCCAGTCAAAGTTTCTCTCATTTTTTTCTTTTTCTCTTGATTTGTTTCAACATTTATCGCATTTTAAAATAGTTGTAAGATCTTTGGAAATGGCTTCCAGGAAAGACTCAATCAATAGATATTCTAACACATTTGCAAACGATTTTAATCATGGTTAGTTTTAAAAGAAACCATTTTTAAACTCACTTTTACAAAAATGTATGTGTATGGTTAAGTTGGAAAGTAGTGTGCTATCCTGCAAAGCTAGTGGTCCGAAGTTGGATCCCTGTGGTCTCACACATTTTGAATTCAGCTTTGAATACCTGTGTGAACTGTCGCCTGCCAAGGATGCCGTTTTAGCTAATTAACAGACGAAGCCAACAACCGACTGAAGTAAGGACTTTTCTCCACTTCGTGTAATTTGCAATTTAAATACATTTAAAACAAAGCACTGGTGAAGAAACGGGGGTAACACTGCTTAGCTGCATAGGATACTGTTCTGACTTTACTGAAAGAACGATCGCTACATCATGGCTCAGTAACTTTGTTACTATGGAGCTGAATAGAAACAAAGAGGACGTGTACTAAACTAACTATTTTTCATTTTATTTTTATTCATTCATTCGAATAAAACCCATAATGTTGATATTCTCGTGTTAAAATAGTTCCATATGGCTAGGATACTGAACTCTTTACGAGCAGCCTGCCGAGGGGGAGTGTACCAAATCTGATTGGTCAGATTTTGCTTGCACCCTTTCCAGACAACTATAGAAAATCTTTTGTCACATTGAATTTCTAAAGAAAATCTTTTTGTCACATTAAACTTTCTCAGGACATAATAACCAATTCATAGCCATGGTTTTTCATGCATTGCATTTGTTTATAGTTAAATTCACTTTATCAACAATTTTTTAAAATAGTGAAACTCTATCTGACCCACAACAGAACCGGACTCGGAAAATAGCTTGCGCGAGTAGACCAAGGCTTAGACTGATAGTAAATAAGTTTTCACTCACTTAATCGTTTACTTTATGTGGGGGTAAGAGAGAGGGACAAAAAAGGGATTGTTTTAGAATAGATTTTTATCGCACAACAATCAGGAGAGTCTTGTAAATAGATGTATGGATAGATATGTAACTCTTTTACTTCAAATGTTTTTATACGTATTCTAAATTGTACTCAGTGGTTTAATCAGGGAAAACTCTTTTAACTTCGAATGGATAGCGTATCGATGAGAGCTTCCCCGCCTCAACAATGGATGGCACGATGTCGCATGTTTGGTTCATCATAATAAATAAATGGTAATCAACAGAATAGCTCTTCTTCCACTGGATTCCAATATGAATTTAGAAGTTGAATTTTGAGAAGGGAGGAAGACCGGAGAACCAGGAGAAAACCCTCGAATCAAAGGATATAACCAAACATGCAACACCGTGTCCTCGAATCTATTCGAATCTAGTCGCATTGTTTAGGCAGTGAGAATCTGATCATCGCTACCATATCTGTGCTTCCCTAACACTATTATTAGGGAATTCTGTTTGGGGTGGCCCACCGAAAGCAGGAGCATCGAGGGGGTCTCGGGGTTAGTGCCCACCGAAACAGAG